GGTCCCGTGTTTGGGAGAGCCAGACCCCACGCACGTTAAAGAACCCACCGCACTTATCGAAAAGAGTAGGGGACCTTCCCGGTGTGAGTGGTTCAAACCTTACAGTCTGGTCTCGGGGTTGACATCTTTGAAAAGGTGATAGTCACCTGTTATGTCAATCCTTCCACAAATGTGGTAAATCTTAATTAATAAATAAATAGATAAATACCTGTGAGGGGGATTCAAACGATGCAAATAAGGCGTCCTTCGCGTCTTCCCTGTTATCTGTCCCAGTGTCAAATGTTGCATCAGCCGATTGGTCTGTGAAATCGGCAGGTTGGAAGGCGGGATCGGGCGGTGGTGTGAAGGTGTCGGCTGCACCGAGGCTGTTACTCACAACCATCCCCGCCATCAGCGCGACCAGAAGCCACCTGGCCATGGCTCTCTGAAACGATAACACACGGTTAACTCTATCACGAAACGTCATCTGTGTTTGTAGTTGCATGCTTGAAGTTTAAACTTTTGTTCCAACATAAGGGAATTGTTCTCACATAGTCGCTCTGGTCTTCCTCCACTCGGGTCAGTCTACTGAGGAAGACTGAGTGACTGGTTGAAAGCTGTTACCGCTTACAGGTCACTTGACCGGAGGTGGTCGCAGGGGCGCTTTGTATTGCAGCTGAGCACCCAACCTCCAACCTCTCTGACGTGTGCCAGCCCGTAGGTGCTGGCAAGGGGCAGGCCAGTCCACTCCCTTATGTTGTCATTCCACTTCTTTCTCTCACCTTTTTTTCTTGTCCCTGCCACTGTTCCTCGTAAGGTCAATAAGTAGAGGTCTTCGCTTCTGGTTACGTGGTCTTAGCATCTTAGCTTCCCTCCTTTTAACGAATCTCTAGGTAAGAACAATTTTCTTGTGTTGGAACAAAGTTTTAACTTTTAAGTTGTTTAAAGACATGTTTTACTCCTTGTGAAATGCAGTAGGGTGAAAATGTATCAACAATTCTATCAAGTATAGCCAAACAGATGGCTCTCGCTTATACGTGAAACTTAAAACAACTTAGATGCAAAGGGGAGTTGTCGAAAACTGAGCACACATTTGAATACTTACTAGTTTAGTTCACGTCTTTACTTTAAACCGCTATTCTTCAGAACGTTGTCTTTTAAAACGATGTAGCGGAAACAGCAACTTCGCCATATGTGCACCACTTCAGATACGAGCTTCTTATAAGGGTTGATATAATCTCCTAAGGCCATGACAACCGATGCAATTTCTTACCAAATTTAATAGGTGATTAATCAAAAACTACATCGTCGAAGGAATGCGTATACGTAGGGAAGGGATCACCAAGGTGGCGATCGACTAAACTATATAAATATGCAAGATTTTACGTCTTAAAGTGAAGTCAAACCTGATCATAGTGACCATAGTACGTGATGCTTGGGACAGACAAGTAGTCAAAGGGTCACCCGCCACGATAGCCAGACATTCTTTATGTTGTGGATACATTAAAACTAGTGGAGTTTTAATGTATAAAAATGTACGTTTAAAAATGTACGTTTAATTCGGTAACGTAACGAATCCACTTCAAGACGTTTTTCTTTAGATCGTTGTCTTGTCTTGGACCTTTGGTAACTTGCTTATTACGTTGTAAGATGACTTTAGGCGAAAATCTGATTTGTCTTGTAGATAGGAATGAGCAATCCTTTTTGATCTGCGCAGTTGGCCGTAGTCCTGTGAGACTGACTGACATATATATATATATAATTACGTAACGGCAAAATAAGTAACAGCAACTTCACCGTATGTGCGTCACTTCAGAGGCGAGCTTGATCTTATAAGGTGCGATATAATCTCCTAGTACCTTGACAACCAATGCAATTTTCAACATGTATCAAGTTCAGTCGGTGATTAATATAAGGCTAAGTGAAGGGTGGGAAAAGGACCACCAGGGCGGCCACCGACGAAACTACTGACTATATAAATATGCAAGATTCGTTACGTATGAATTACAGTCAAACAAGACCATTGTGACCGCTCAGGGTACGTCAGCAAAATTGCAAAAACGATTAAGACAAGTACTCAAAGGGTCACTATAAAGTGGCCACGATGGACAGACCTTCCCTATATAGTGGGTACTTACTAGTGGAGTTCGCGACTCGCGACTGAACATTCTGGTTGTACATAAAAGGACTGAGGAAAGACCTTGTCGGGGTAGCACCCCTAAAGGTGGGAAATACCATCATCAGTGATAGCGGGAAAAAAGCAGAAGTACTCAGTTCACAGTTCAAAAGTGTTTTCACAGAGGAAGACACCACAGATATGCCATCTCTAGGTCAGCCCCGTACTCCTCCAATGGAACATATAGTAGTTTCTACTGATGGTGTCGAAAAAATGCTTCAAGGTCTCAATCCCTCTAAAGCATCCGGACCAGACCAAATACCACCGTGGTTCCTCAAGTTGACAGCTAGTGAAATCGCGCCTGTACTAACCAATATTTTCCAACACTCGCTAAACACTGCAGAA